CTCACTTGAAGAGTGCTTTGAAGAAACACATTATTTTGTGACTTCTTCCCTAGATGTTTTAGAAACTCTATAGTCCATGCTACAGTGCAGTAATACTCAACTAGTTTTTTTCCTTAACCTAACAACCTCAACCCTGACCCCCTTTATTTCTCTAATTAATGTCCCTAGGTTTTTCAATGTTTAGTACATCTGTTTTAAATAGTTTGTTTGCTATGTGATTATTACCTTCTGTGTTAGTACCTTGGAACACAGACTACTGCTTTGTATCACGAAAATCAAAGCCGTGGTCCACCTAACACATACTATAGCTATCTAGTGCAAAACTCTGCAATTTTTTATGATAGTCTTTCTCTGTCTATCTGGAGATGTCATAGGTTGAAAGAGACATTCTGCTTGCAAAGAGTGGGATCTACTGTACCACTGAGTTACAGTCTTCCCCGTAGGCAGCCATATCCTTTCTTTCTATTAGTGGCATAACTGTGATAAATTCTGTGGTTGTAGCAACCAGACCCAATCTTGACCGTACTGGACTTACTTATACACACACACACACACACACACACACTCTCTTAGACATCCTAGAGAACACAGTTGCCACTGACAAACATGTAACTCATCTGCTCAAAGAGACTGCTTCAATAGAAAGACCATCATGCCTTCCAAGTTGTGACATGACTAAAACTTCTAGAATTCTTAGTTAGCATGTCATAATCCCCATAAATCTAGAGGGCTCCATCTGCAGGAAGGCCAGTGATGACATCATATAAGAATCGCATAAGTCCTTGTAAAACCAATTTTGCAGTGCATTACTAGCTGTGACAGATAACACTGCGGTGGCCAGTCTTCATCAGGAGGACTGGGACTCACATATCTTGCTTTCTAACCTACCTAAAATAATCTCCCACTTTGCCAAGGCAGGATGACTGGGGTTGTTTCAATTTGGAATGCAAGGTGTTGGATTCCTACAGGGATCGTTTAACCTAATAGCCCATTACTTTATATGTGTGTGAGTGTGTGTTAGTCTCACACAGTCTACCAATTCTAGGTAACTTTGACTCCCTTTTTTTTCTTCCCCAAGAGAGAACTAAGAACTGCCTATAGAAAACAACAATGATAAGGATTTTGGAATGAGGAGGTCAGTAATAGCTTATCCCTATTTTTGAATGTGCAAAATCTAGTTGTTGGTCAGATAAGTCTCCATCCTTGTTGAAATATATAGGCTCCTAGGTAAGTAGAAAACAATAAAGTGTATCTGGATAGTTTTCATATGCTCAGTAAATAAATAAAATTAAAACTAGGTATACTTTATAATTAGTTTTAAAAACTAATTATTAGTAGAATAATATTAATACAGTATATTTTTAACTATAGATTCTAGTATGCAAATGAGTTGCAAATGCACTAGTGCTCTTACAGGCAGAATAATGCTTTCAGGCTCCTACCAGAAACTGAGATAATATTCACATGGAAATAGAATTTATTTGACCACCAGAGGGCTCTTACGTTGTGTCAGCTAACTGTTGCTATCACTATCCAGTGACGGGAGGGCCCTGAATAGGATTTGCCAGCCATTTTAGTTCTTACACATGCTCCCCTTTCGGCTATACACACATTTTCAACCATTGACAGAATTGCAGGCATTACAAAGGAGCACCAGTGCACAGATGTTTGCTGAACAGTTTCAACAAGGAAAAAGAGCAGAAACACATAACATGTATCTCATTTCAACCAACCATAAAAGCACTTTCCATAAAAACAATGTTCCATTGCTCCACTGAAGTTGAAAGCTTCATAAATTAAGGAAACCTACTCCTGTTGGTTTGGCCAAACTCAACAAACCCACTTTATGGAACAAACTGACCCTGTTCAATCTCACAAGAGCCTAATACAATGACTTACCCCAAATAAGCCCCCAAGGATAGTAATAATAATCCTTTAAAGCCACTGGTATCTACTTCCTGTATCGAAACACAATGACCAGTCCATATTCTAATCAACAATGTAATCTAAATAAAAATATCAAGCAACGAGGCAAATTATCACCTTTACTGCATTGATGACCATGCAATCTTCTGAGTTCAAGTTACTCCCCATGGGTACGGGTAATCTCTCAGTGCACAGAAACTGTGCTAATTAGATATATCACTTTATCCCTTTTTCCCTTTCCTTCAGCGGAAAAACAAAGCAGCAGCTTTTCATCACAAGAGAGTATCTTGTTCAGCATGCAGGGGCACTCTAAGAAAGCTCCAAGATGAAACTGATAAGTCACCAATAATTCACATGTAATCTGAATATGATTTTCATGAATCTGTTCAATCAAAAGCATAATTTACAGACATGTTACATTTTCCTGCACCTCAGTTTGGAAGATCTTTGAAGGGGGAGGAGCGATCTGACCTCTGGTTTCCATTTATGTTCTTGCACTTAAGCTGCTGTACAGCTTAAAAGCCATAATGTTCTAGACAGCATACTGTACTTGGCTTAAAAAAAACCAAGCAAACAAAATGAACCCCGCACTATTAATAAAAATCTTAGTATTCTTTAGAAAAATAATTTTGTCATAGAGAAGTTGACATATATATCAAAGAAAGGTAGTTCCTCTTGTTCCACACAAACACATCTGCCGTCTGTTATGATATTTAAATTCATGCTCTAGTTCAAACTCCTAGTCATCACAAAATTAAATTAGAGCACCAATTAATTGGAATAAATCCCCACCCAGAACAGGTGCAATAGTACAATGCAATGAATTTGAAAAAAGAATGTTTTAGTTTTTATTTATACAATACTGGTCTGATGCCTATTTTTGAGATGGGAATGTTCTTTGTTTAGTGCTGATGTATATTAAACACTTTGCTCATTCTATTACAAAAGTAGGATTCACTCCCAAGGAAGCTCTTACTGTGTGACTACTTCCAACTTTCTGGCCCTCTTCCTTCTTCAAGTTTTTCTTGTGACCATACATTTCCTTTCAGTCCAGTCTAGAAACTATTTGTATAAAGATCCAAGAGGAAAAATAATAAATAAATACCCTCCTGAATCCTAGCCCTCATATATTGGTTGCTACAGTACTTGCAAACAGTTGGATTTTTTGTCACCGAAATATGCCACAGGCTAGTCCATGTTCATGACCTGGCAAAGGTGTAACGTACAATCCCCAAGAAAAAAACTGCTTTGCAAAAATATTGAAGTCATTTCCAGTAATTCAGCATTAAGTGGCATTACTCTTGATTTATCATTACTCTGGAATAGAAATAAGATTTTACATAACTTCTATTCTGTTGGCACCTGGAGGGTTAAATGAAGATATTCTTCAGCACTGAGAAACACTCCCTCCAACAAGGTTTCCAAAACAACACCTATAGAAAGTCATCATTTTGGCTAACAAGTCTCTTGAGGGACAAATAATGGCTTTGGTGCATAACTATTGTTTGATCTCAGAGGGGTGTTTAAACAGCTAAAGAGCTTTGTCTCAAAGCAAGCAAAAGTTAGCCTTAGCATTTGTAGATATTCTCAGGATACTTCTCTGCATTTTCCTATCTTTGATATGACTGTACTACAATAGCATTAACAGAGAGATTATTATATCTCTATTATAGATAATCTGGCAACAACTTACCAGAAAATAGACTGAGCAATTTAATTTCTAACCAAATTGCAAGAAATCTAGAATTCTGTAACAGAATCACCATCACAAAAACAATATTCCCTGATTTGAAAACCAGTGTTTGCAGTTCCTATCAAATCATGTTTAAAAACATTTCTATTTACAGACTTCATTTTGGAAGTTGTGGATTTTTTAAAAAAGTACTTTAAAAGTACAGTAGTTAAATTTTTCAACATCATTGATACCTCACCATTCCTATCAAGGAGCTGAAGGTACCATACATGATTCAGTTTCCTTATACAGAAAAACTACATAGGCAGTTTTGGCTAAATATGCAACTAATTTCATGGGTGAGAGGATATTTCACTATGGTTATCCCAGTCCTTATCCAGTGCTCTCACCTTTGTCACATACTGTCTTTATTTTTTATGAGAGACTGGTACAGGAAGTCTATATTAAGGAAACTGGCATGCACTGCATTGTTTAACATGAATCTGACCTCAGCCCTTAGATTTTTGAACACAGGCCCAAGAGGCTAGAAGATTGTACCTAGCGGTTTCCTCGCTGCTGGATATACATAGATTACTTCACAGAACTGTTATTATGTTCCTAAGCCAGAAGATGCAACTTCCAGATAGATAAGCAGATATTATTAGCAACATGAAAAAGCTTCCCTAAAAACCAGGACATAGATATTCACCACTGAAGGCCAAAATAGATGCAATGCTAAATGCAAATTAAGAAGCTAGTCAATATTAATAGTAGGCAGAGACAGGAAGTTTTTAACCCTTCTCATCCCATTACTGTCCCAGATAAGTAGTGCTTTGCCCACTACCGTTAGCTTTGGGGAGTGGGGGGTACTCCTATTGCACTTGAAATAACTGACAAATATTAGGAACTTAAAAAAAAATAGCAGAATCTACATCACAATAAAATATCTATTCAAATTCTTTTTTAAAAAATAATATAAATATTTGCAATTGTTCAGTGAATTGTATGAAGACTACAAAAAAAAATGTCATTTTAGATACCTTGCCAGTGAAATATACAATTGTGGCATGTAGATTCTTAGAATTGCCCTGTTATAAAGGGATAATTTATAGGCTCAGTTTGATGGTCTGTAATTTGTTTGGCATAACCTGGCAGAATCTCCCTTATACCAGAATTTAAAGAGCAAACAGCAGTATGCTAGTAAAACATGAACTACACTACTGTTTAATAGAAAGCAAATGCAAAAACTCAAAGCATATTATTATTATTATAATAGTTGGTCAGTCAGCCAGATGTTTATTATTATTATTATTATTATTATTATTCGCACTGTCTTCTTTAGGAAATAAAGGGGATACATTCAAGGATAAGTACTACAAAGTTGAAGAATTAAATAACTCACCTAGGTATGACAACACACCTGCTGCAGGCAGGGAGTATAGAACTCTTTATTCCAAGAATTTCCTGTTCTAGGTTCAGCATCATAAATAGGATTATAACTGCACAAGCTGTTTTCGTGATCCTCTCTTTTCAGCACATTTTGCAAGAAGCGGAACTGGCTGGGGGGGACGGGGTGGAGCAGGGAGAAACAGAAGCCAATGCACTTTCATCCCATCTGGGAACGCATTATTCCTTACCATCCATTCGATAGGCCTCAATCCCAGGATTCCACCAGGTGACCCTGTTGTTTCCAAAGCCACCAGCATACAGTTAGCAGGTCACAGTGGGTATTGGGGAAGGGATGACCTGATGGCTCATGAAGGACTTTGCTCTTGATGGCAAAAGCAAACAGGGCCCTTCCCTGCAGCTTAGTTGTTCTGGAAGCCAAATAGAGCACCTTGTCAGCTCAGAGCTAAGCGCAGCATCCAAAGCAGACCTGTTTTGTCTTCCTTTTTTTCCCTCTGATTGCATCAATATGGACCTCCTTATAAGAAAAGGGAGGAATCCACCATCATGGTTGTAAAACCTCTTTGGAAAGGCCAGCTGGTCCCTTATACACAGTAGAGTCCTCCTTGAAGAAGTACCATGTTCCATATTTCTATGGCTTCAGTTTGGAAAGCTAAGCTATAACCAGGCAACATGGTCTCAATTTAAATTTTAGACAGATCTACTATGGATGCTGTGCAACCATCTCTCCCCAATGCCACACTTCCAGACAAGTCCAAAAAACAACTCTTCTGCAAGCGGGACAGTTAGTTACAAAAGAAGGATGACTGCTGTTAGCATATCTGCAGGATTGTGGGACAGGGAATCGCATGATGACAATTCAAAGGGGGAGAATATTCTTGCCAGTCACAGGCAGCTCATTCACAGGCCTATCACAAAAGTTCTCATAGATCCTCCCACACTCCCTCCAAGTTCACCAAGCCAAGAGTAGCTGGCATTGTTAGGCAATCTGCATTTGCTTGTTTTCAAGTAATGTAATACATCTCCCTTTGTATTCCCCAGAAACAGAACAACAATAACAAAAGCACAAAGTGAAAGACAAGCCTCACACTGGTGCTGATCCTGTTTTTTTCTCTTATAAATGAAAATAGCAAGAAACCTGGCCTGTAAAAACTCTTTATAGCTTTTTTTCCATAGGAAATTGTTCTGGCATCATCTTATCCCCTTTTTTTTACTGTCACTGAGGTTTTTTGTTTTAATATATCAAGTGAATTATAACTGGCAATTGCTCAGATAAGAGGAAGCCCCTGAAAATTAAAAATAAAAATAGAAGAATCCTCAATAGATGCAATACTACCAAAGACAGCTAACTTTATACCTCATTCTAGGAAAAGAAAAAGGCTAGCATAGACTTAAGATAATGTCTATAGGATCAATTCCTAATCCATAAGAAAATGCCACGGAATAGATAGAGCAACTTGTTTAAACCTCCTGCAGTAAAGGCCAGCAAGATAACAAGGCATGACAGATATACCTTGACAGACAGAAGCAATTGCCAATTTATTACAAGCTCCAGTGCTTGCAACATCACAGCACTCACAGTCCAAGTTGGTAAAACAATACTCAGACCATATCAAGACTCATGTGGTAGAAGTACAGTGAAAATGTACCTCTTCTTGGAAGCAGATAAAGAGTGTTTATTCTTAGAATATTAGCTGACAGGTCTCTGCTAGAATGGCAACCAATATTTGTATATCAGTAACACATAGGAGGAACGGATGGCACTATCAGGGACCAAGCTCAGAAGGCATATAAGCAAGTACATGAGGCTTGTATAGAATTCCATCAATTATTGTTAAGATAGACAAATCATACAACAATAAATGTTGGCAATGCCACAACAAAGAAGGAGCATTTTACCATATGCAATAGTTATGCAAAAAGACTCAAAAGAACTAGAAAGAAATACACCAAAGCTTCCAGAAAATTCTGAAAATAAAATTAGAATTAAAACCACAAATATTTTTATTAGGTATGATCCCAGAGAATATAAATGAAAAATATCACCATTTGTTAAGATGTATGGCAAGAATCAATTTGGCACAGTATTGGAAGAGAAACCTTGCCCACAATACAAGATTGGGAGGCTAAAGTTGGAGAATAGGCAGAAATGGAAAAATTGACTGTATATATTCACAGAAGTCTTTCCAAATTCAAGCAAGAATGGTTCCCATATATACAACAAATTACATAGCAAGGCAAGCTAAGATGTTTAGAATATCTCATTTATAAGACATTTAGAATATCTTTATTATTTAGAATATAGTTTTTGAAGAAAAAGAGGAACTGTTAAAATAATTAAAATGATCCCAATAGCAATTTGCAAATGTCCAAAGCATAGTATAAAAATATTTAAGTAGCAATTGGCAAGTAAACCAAGTGAATCTGAAGCAAGATAAAATTGATGAAATGTTGGTTAGTGAGTTCTAAAAAGGGGGGAAGGGAAATACATACTAGTTGATACAACTATCAGTTTTTTGATAGTGTTAATTCTTCCCTTGGTTACTTTAGCAACCAAAGCTGAGCAAGGGCAATTTTCACCATCTCAGTTCACTATCCCTTCTTCACAGACAGTAAGCACCTTTGTAGTCTTCTGATACCAGTATCAACACCCAGGCCCAGCACCAGCCACTACTTCTTGTTGGATGTCAATATCTTCAGGAGGGCCTTCCACCTACCCTGTTCAGCAATTGTTCAAACTTGCAACGGTGCTGAACAAGTGGTTCTCACAACCAGTCCTTGGAGTTCCGGCTGTTGTAACATCCCTGCAGTCACATGATCTGGACCCTTGGTGCCTGGCTCATGATTATGACCTTGCAATGTTCTGCAGTCGCCATTTGTGACCTTCTTTGCCGGCTTCCAACAAAGTCAAGGGGTAGCTGGCAGGAGGCCGCAAATAGTGACCACATGATGTCTTCACTTAACAACCTATGGTGATTCACTTAACGACAGCAACTGGGAATATACAATTGCTGTCACACTTTATGACTGTGTCGCTTAGCAACTGCAATTCCAGTCCCAATTGCCGTTATTAACCAAGAACTACCTGTAAAATTGTTAGGCCCAGCCCTATGACATATCAGGGTGAAGCCATCTGTTGGCCACCATTTCAGAGATGATGCTGAAGTGAAAGATCAAAGCAAAGGTTATTATTTGAATGTAGTCACAACCTTTTAAAAATTGGCTCATAATTACTGGGGGGAGGGAGGCACATTTGGACTCTACTTCAGGCACCAAAATGTCTTGGATTGGCATTACACAGGTTTCCTGCTGGCCAAGTAGCATTTCCTTGTGCCAGCAGAATACAGATGTTCTGGGCAGCTGTGTGTTTTCATTATGGAAATTCTTTTTTCCAAGGGTCTGACAGTCATTAAGCTTATTTTTCAGAAACAACATAGAATGCCCCTGTTTGCATTCCTGTTTGGTAACCAAAATCAAATTAGTTTGATTTTCTTTTAACTTTGCTTAAAGATCCTATTTTCTATCCTGATTGTTTTGAGAAAAAATGTCAGTTTTGATTTTTGTCATTTTTTCTTCTCTCAACATTTTTTCCAGCCACTGAAATTTGATTCTCTAGCTTTTACAAAATTTTAACAAATAGCATTCACTATTATTTGGCTGCCCATTTTTCCTACTTTGGCATCATGGTTCATGATGCTAACAGTTCATAATTACTTTCTCTTAACATGATACAGTTTCTACAGTCTCAGACATTTCCTTCCTATTAGTCAGATTCTAATTTAAAAATAGCACACCCCCGATTGTTTCCTTAACTTTTTGAAGAAAACATTTGTTCAGAACAAATAAGAGCTGTGTTTATGCCCCATTAAAGAGAATTTCCAACAGATAGATCATTTCTGCACTAACGCTGTGTTCCTAATGTTTGTTTATAAGAGGAATATTTTATCCCCAAGTGGAAGAGTTGTTAAATGGTTGGACACTATACATTTTACAGTGACAGGAGGAAGAATTTATTTCCTAGTGACCGTTCCTAGTTTCCTGAACAGAGTGAAGGCCAGACAGATTACCCTGAAATAGTACAATTCCCACAATCAATTCTGTCCCATCTATCTTGACTGAATGATTTCCAGTGTTATACAGAACACAAGAACATTATCATCTGATTCCTATAATGCTACTTATTTCCTTTTATATTACAAGTTAAATTCCTAATTCCTATTGGGCATCACAGAAATCCCCTTAATTTTACTTCAGTACTTATACAGTTGTCCACAGTTGTCTTTAGATGTGCTGTTTGATAGAAATCTCAAGTTATCTAAGTATTTCATTCAGATCTTGTAATTTATCTTTGTTTCAGTAAATTCCATTTGTAGTATTTGCCAAGGAACTGTAGCTAGGAAGTAACTGTGTTATCTAGTCTCCATTTCAAAGTTCATCTCAGTCAAGCAAACTAGTATTTCTATAGAATCATAGAGTTGGAAAGGACCTAAAAGGTCATCAAGTCCAACCCCCTGTACACTGCAGGATTCACTACACCATCCCCAAGAGATTACTATCCAGCCTCTGTTTGAAAACCTCCAGTGAAGGAGAAGAAACCTCTCTATGCGGTAACTTATTCCACAGTATCTAGGCTTCAATTCTGAATAGGAGCCATTATTACCATATGACTTCTCAGATTGTTTCTTTAACAGCTCTAGTGGTGCATTTGATAGTGGAGGCAGCAGTACTGAAAAGTAATCCATGAGCTTCTGTAATTTCTTCAGGATTTTGTATTTGAGCTCAAGATTCTTGTCCCCAAATGTTAAATTGTTTTATTCTACCCAGATTAGCTCAAACTATCTTATTACTCCTTTCACAGCAGCAAAAGATTTCTTTGTCTTATTATAATGCTTCTTTTTTTCCTCTTAAAGTTGCCCAATTTTCTGTCCTTGCCAGTGTCATCTCTTACCTTTTCACGATCTGCCATTCTGTCAGATGTATTGTGCATACATATTGAAAGCCCAACAGCATAACGCTATCTATAATACGTTTTGCAAGTGGCCGATTGCAAAAACAATGTTGATTTGTTGAGTTTTGCAAACAGATTGTCTACTAC